ACATAAAATGTATTATTATAATTTCAACATTAAAATCATTAAAGGGCATCTGCTCCTTCTACCTTCTACTTAATAAATGTATCCAGTTCTATGAATACCCATATGCAAATTTCCAAAAGTTTTCCTGCTGACACAAGATGTCTCCTACTTATCAGTAAAGTCAAGAACACAACAAGCTTCAATGTGCCACACCCGGTTGCAGGTTAAAAGCGCTTTTCTAAATACTCAAAGACACTGTACAATAACAATATAAAATATAAATAAATAATTATACTTTTTTGCAGGTAAAAACATATCAGACACACATTACTGTTCCAAACAGATTGTTTGCCTACGTCTTAATACATGTCTAGAAGGGATCTTGGATCTCTGGAAGGGTTGGCACTTTTAAAATACAAAAAAACATCCTTTGTCACTTATCTCCAGTGGTGTCATGTAATTTTTTATTTTATTGCCTATATTTTGAGATATGCTTCACATTCTGTGGATTTATTCACATTTATCGGGCCTTCTGGAAAAGATATATTGAAAGTAAATACCATATTTCTCAGTTTTTTGTGGGGTAAATGAAATTCTGTTCCTCTATATTTTATTGGAGTGAAGATAGAGGTCAAAGAGACAGATATCTAAAAAAACATGCACAAAGTCAAACTATCTGCAGTCTGTAAAACTAGATAAGCTCTTTTAACTCTAAATTGTTGAAACTGATTACGTCGGAAGTCTTAAGTAAAATTTACTCAATTTTGAAAGTAAAAATAATATGTGTTTAAGTAACTTTAGTCATTTTAAGTGAAACTGATTTAATTATATATATTTAATTAAAATATAATGTTTATTTGTACTGTGAAAACAAAATGCCTAGTAGTTAAGTAGTTAATCAGCAATGTTTCTTCAATTTACAAATTAATTTTTAATTTTCTAAATAACTGTATCGCATTACAGTGTGCAAGGCTATAAAGTACTAGAGGGGAAATATGTTTAGGAGAACTTAACCTTAAATAAAATGTTTGACCCATGTAATTCACTTCAAACTCCGTCTCAGAGTGTAGAAAACTGACTGTAGCTTAGGTTTACTGTAACCTCATCTGTACATGCAGTCAATTAATTCAAATTATGTAAATAACTTGAAGCATGCTTTGTTTTATGTTTTATGTATTGTTGTCCTTGTTTTTAAGTGGTTTATGTGTTTTTAGGAACTGTGCTTTGCTATGTGCACAGTATGGCGGTTCCTGTTTAATGTATTTTACTGGTCTTTTGTATCTGTCATCACAGACTGCAGGTGAAAATTAGCCAGGATAGCTAAACTGTCACAATTACAGAAATGTTCATTATCTACACTGCCATTATAAATAAATAAAGATATTATCTGATAGGTGCTAATATGAAAACAGGTTTGTAGTTTTTCCAGTATGATGTTTAGCTATTTATTGTACTTTTATTTCTTCCCTTTTTTCCCCATTTTCCTTTCTAGAATTAGTTAAAAATGTATATGTTCAATAATTTAACATGAATAAAAAGGAAGTATACTGGACTGGAGGCAGCTTCAAACGAGACCTAAGGGCCCACTGAGGAGGCAGCACTGTGAGAAACTACAGTTGTTTTGTAGGACACTGCATGGCCCAGTGCGTCTGTAATGCATGCTCTCTCTGCCTGAAGCATACAGTGTTTACATCTGGAGCACACACACTATCTGCAAAAACACAACAGGCTCACACACACACACACACTGTTCTCGTGGAGATAGATGGTGTTAGAAGAATCTGTAAGATGACCACTCACGCACGCGCACACATGCATAAAATCTTACCTTCACTGCCTCTATGTGAGTGACATTGTCAAACATCATCTCGTTCACGGCCACTATCTGGTCCCCGACCCTCAGTCCTTCCCTCTCGGCCGACGAGTCCGGCTCCACTAGGGACACGTAGATCCCCACACCGTGCTCCGACCCCCCGCGGATGCTGAATCCTAACCCCTCGTGGCTCCTGGAGCGCGTCAGCGTAACTTGGCGCACTTCTCCAAAAGCACCCTCGAAGAACGGCGGGGCCATGGGCGCAGACAGCTCCGCGGCGGCGGTGAAACCGTCCGGACAGCCCGAGCTGAGAGGCTGCTCATGGATGGAGCTGACATATTTCTGCAGAGTTGAGTCGCCCTCGTCTCCGAAGCCCTCCGCGCTGCCGTTGCTGGGGAGCAGGTCTGTCTTCAGGTAGAGCCCCTCGGACGTGTACTGGTCGAACAGCAACTGGTCGGACCTCGGGATGACCAGGCGCAGCATGGGCAGCAACTGTCGTTTGCCGGGCGTGTTGAGAATCACTTTGAGAGTTTGGACCAGGTCGAAGACGTTGCGCTTGGCGTGGTACACATTGAGACAGTGGATGAACTGCTCTCTCTCCAGGTCGCTGAGCAGCAGGTTGAGAGCGTTGTGGAGCCGCCGGACGTTCGCCGAGAGCGCACGGCCGCCCGAGCCGGCCGAGTTCACCGATGTGTTGAGCGAAACGCGCTCCAGATCAGCGCTCATCCTACAACATAACGGGGAACCAGTGAATCATACAGAGCGGAGGACGAATCGGGCATTTGTTAAAGCGCTGTTGAGGTCGACTCTCTCATTCGAAAGCAAAACGGCTCACCGCGCATGGGGCAACTTCAACAGGTGACCGGTGATCTACGCGCGTAACGCTGCTGATGTGTACCACATACACTGTGTGAACCCGAACAAACCATTGTCTCAGTCGGTGCTCGCATTCTTCTTGCACTGAACAAAGAATAAATGTTCTCAGATTCCTGCTGTCTTTTTATTCCACGCGACAACAAAAGCTGTACCGTCCGCTGCCTCCACCGGGACGAGCGATTCGAATCTTGTCCGGTTAATATCTGACATTAAGATCACTAGAACGCTCTCTTAATTACTGTAAATCATAAAATGGTGCATTATAATAACACATGGCCTCCTCTGTGTTTATTCTGTCCACAGAACAAACTCCAGAGTCTGTCGGGTTTCCACGGAGCCCTCTCTGCGCGCAACTGGCAGGGAGAGCTGATGCTCTCAGCCCCTGTGTGTGTAGGAAATGACGCAGGTGTGTGTTTGTGTGTGTGTGTGTGTGTGTGTGTGTGTGCCAGTGTGTGTAAGTGTTGCTTAGAAACTGACAACACTACTAACCCTTATTTAAATGCTTATTTTTGGCCAGGCATTAGCTGATGTCATACATTTTTGAGTGGAAACAGGAATAGCACCAGTTAAAACTACAAATAACTCCACAAACCGCTGAAATGTCAGAATTCTGACATTTTATTACACAGTTTATTGGATAAAAAAGCAGGTGAATCCCAGCTCAGGACAACTTCAGAGCAAATGAATGGATTGCCTTGCAAGTTGT